AAGCGTAGTCGCCAATTTAACCACTCGCTCTATCACCCTCCACATTATGCAGCTACGTAGCATAAAATTAAATGCACAAATGAGAAACCGGCTACAGTCGATAAAATTAAAGCGATGTACAACTATCGATAAAATAAAATAAATTAAAAGAAAATTCTTTCTCTACCACTCAATCAGACTTCTCCTCCACACAATCAAACAAAAAAAAAATGAAGAAAAAACCGGACTTGGCCAGAAAAACGGCAAAACTTACTCACAAGAGAATGCTCCAAAGCTCAAAGCATTTCTGATTTTCTCAATACCTATTGACAATTCTGATGGAATGTTTATAAAAAAAAAAAATTGTAGCATAGAGAATAAGAAACAAAAGAACTTTCACTCTCTAAAATTCAGAACTTATATTATTGTTAGAAAAAAAAAATGAAGCGGAAGTAAAATTGTAGAAAAAATTCTTTCCCAAAACTCGGGCTTCTCTCTGCTCTCTTCGACACAGTCTAATAATTTAAAAACAGATGGGAGGCATTACACAACAACTGAAAATTCTTTCTCTCTTAACAATAATATAAATTTTGACTTTAGAGAGAGAAATTTCTTTTTTTGCTTGCAAATTTTTTTTCTAAACACTCCATCAGGATTGTCAATGGGGGATTGAGAAATCAGAAATCCTTAGAGCTTTGGAGCATTCTCTTGTGGGTAAGCTTTGCCTTTTTGTGGCCAAGTACGGTTTCTTCATCTTTTTTTTTTTTTTTTTTTTTTTGAAAATAGGTAATGGGAGAAAAAATTTTCTTTTAATTTAATTTAATTTATTTTATTTTATCGGTAGTTGTACATCGCTTTCATTTTACAGACCGTAGCCGGTTTCTCATTTATGCATTTAATTTTATGCTACATGGCTGCAATATGTGGAGGCCGGTAGAGTGAGTAGTTAAAAGGGCCACTCATCTTGTTGCTGTCTTAGTATTTAATTTTGTGCTACGTGGCTGCATACCGTGCAGGTTGGTAGAATGAGGGGTGAAAGGGCGACCTTGCTTAGCATTTAATTTTATGCTACGTGGCTGCAAAATGCGGAAGGTGGTAGAGTGAGTGGTTTTTTTTTTTTTTAAGAGTAATGGTTAGTAAATTAATATGATTAGATATTAGTAATTGAAAATTTGATTTTTAGATTTGATGAACAATTCATCAACTTTAATAAAACATGGACCCATGTAGACATTTGGTAGAGTTCAATAAGATGAGTGGTTAAAAGGGCCACTCATTCTGATTCTGTCTGAGTATTTAATTTTTGTGCTACGTGGCTGCATAACGTGCAGGGTGGTAGAGCGAGGGGTGAAAGCGGAACTGCCCTTAGCATTTCTCTTGTAATGAAAGGTAGGGCTGTTGACTCTATGGATTTTAATATTTTTTAATTAATTTAATTTAATTAATTAATTAAAATTTTAAATTAATTTAATTTACTATTATATAATAATTAAATTGATTTAATTTAAATCATATTAGTGTAATTTGATTAAATTAATTAATTTTTAATATTATTAAATATATAAAATAATATAAAAATTTTAATATTAAATAAAAAAATATAATTATAAAATATATTAACATTTAAAATATATGTTGACTGGAGAATGCAGGGGCGAGTGCCCATAACACTGCTGAAAAGCAAATGTCCAGCAATTCCCTTCCCTTCTCGATGTCCTTTTCCAACCCAGCTAGCCCCACAGCAGCCAAAGGTCTGCGGAAGAGATAAGAAATTTCAGCCACTTTTCTTAGTCCGCGTCCTTTCCCTCGCTTGGACAAAAACAGCAATGGTCGGAGAAAAGCAACAGGTCAATTTTGTACCAACAAACTTATTAATTAGAGTGGATAGGGTTTGATTTTTTTTTGAATAAAATTTTAAATTTAGTTTATGTAAATAAAAAATAAATATTAAAAAACTTTTTTTATAGAATATTTAACTCAATTTAACTCTAAATTAATGAAACTTAACCTGATTTTCAGACACTAAAATTTAGTGAAAAAATCAATTTTGTCCCCTTGCGAGCAAAGGTGGATATGGATGGAAGAGAGATTGAAACGGTGAAGATGAGGGAAGGTGAGAGAGTCTAGGTTTTTGTGAAATTTTGTATAAATAGGATGAAAAACAGTGAAGAAAAGAGACTAAGAGAGGGGTTTGGCCGACAGCCACAAAAGGAGATCTTTGGGGTTTTTCATTCTCTCTCTGGTCCTGAGATTTTGGTGACTTTTTCGGCGTCGATTATCTCTGAGCTTTTTGAAAATAGGCAATGGCCTCTGAGCTTGAATCTAAGTGGAATTTGAACCCTAACCTGTGTTTCTAGTTACGGTTACTGTGCATTTGTAATTTTTATCAAGAAATTTTAATGGAGTTTTAATTAAAAAATATAGTATATTTTGAATTATATAAAATTACACTACATTAATTATGAGATAAAATTAAATTATTTGATATTGAAATTTTATTTAATAATTTTTATTTTATGTTTATTATAATTTAAATTGTAAAACATATTGTAAGTGTTTTAATTAAAAAATATAATATATTTTGAATTATATAAAACT